GACCCTAAATACCTTATAATTGACTTCACCTCAAAACCCCGACCTCATACCCCAAATCCTAGCGCAGAAGTTTCGGCATCGTGCCTCCTGGCTTTTGGAACGACTCCTGGAAGGCTTTCAGGGCTGCCGGTTCATGGTTTCAGGGCTTTTGCGGGCTGAAGGGTGGGAGGCTAAGTGCTTGGAGGCTTAGAGGCTTGAGGTTGTTGCGGGGTTCAAGGGTTTAAGGGTTCTGAGTCTAGGGTATGTGAGCACAAGTTCAGATTTTTCCGCGCTTGGAGGCCCTGTCGGTTCTAGCTTATGAGGATTGCCTGCAGGGGTTTAGGGTTTAGGGTACTATAGGATTGCATGCAGGGGTTTATGGTCAAGGGAACTAGGATTGCCTGCAGGGGTTTATGGTCTTGGGAACTAGGATTGCCTGCAGGGGTTTAGTGTTTAGGGTTTGGGGTACTAAGTAGGCTCAGCATGTCAAAAGAGCCTCCGAGCAGGGTCCAAGCACGTACACAGCACAACATGTCGGGAGCTTGGCAAATGAAACAGGGGGTATAACAATTATGTTAGCCATAACAAGGAAGCCAAAGGAATAGTGTTGGTAGTTATTTAAGCTTCGATGGTGCTAAGGCCCTTAAGTAACTAAGTAACACTGCAGCATGGACAAAGCCTCCGAAGACACAACACACCCTGATCTCGGTGGTTCCACTCGGATTTTGTCGAGCTTAGGTGCTTGCAGTTTTCAGGCTTGTGGGTTTGCGGATTTAGGATTATAATTTCGGCCGGCGCTTGGGCCTTTCAGGTCGAGTGTGTCCCTTTAGCTCGGTCTCACATGTGCCTAGAAGCCATGAGCATCAAACCCTATTGGGTTTAGGGCTTAGAACCTCCCAGCACCTTCTTGGCTCGACATGCATATACACATATACATCGCTGCCAACATTGCATCCGGCAATCGACTGTTGTCTCTGTTTCTCGCTGTGTGCTTCGTAGTATTGCCACCCCCCAGTAGCCCCTGAATGATAAGGCTACTCTCAGACTCCTTTTTCGCATTTTTCGATCTTAACAGGGGAACCCGGACAGAAAAGGGCAAAAGGGTACTACTGGAGAACCTATGGTGTGCTGGATTGTGTACTGCAAGTGTGTGACTATTTGCATTGTCTTGCTGACAATTGTGAAAACCACTACTGTAGGGGCCTCAACAATTACCCATACTATTTTGTGGGTTCCTTGTTATAACTACAGTATAATGGGCTCCAAAACCCTCTTCTAATTATGAAGGCCCCTATAGTAGTCCTGCATGACAAATCTTCACAAACCTCGCCTCTGACAGCCGAGCCTGCTTTGCCTACCAAGTATATCGACCAAAGACCCATGCACTCATGCCAACCCTGCGAGGAAGCCTTCTAAGTACATGGATCCCATTTCTAAGCCTCTTCAAGAAACCCTAAACCCTAAACCTTAAACCCCATACCCTAAACCCTAAACCATAAACAAAACCCAATGATGTTCTACGCTGCTCGCAGTCCTCAGTCGCTCCGCTTTATTCTCCCCCAGCTGGCCGCGCGTGGGCGCAAGGTTGGTGATGTCACCCAAGACCATGGCTCGAGAGTCTTCAAGGATTTCCCGGCTTGTACTTTCAGACTTGAAGGATTTCTTGGCTTCTACTTTCAGATGGTTTAGGCTTGAAGGCAAGCTTGGTGGTGACTTTAGGCTTTAGGGTTTGGTGGAGCGGGTTTGCTTAAGTGCTTCTTTTCGCACCTGTGCAACCTACGACATACATAAGGGCTCTGCAACCACGGCTACTAGGGTTCTATACTGGTTGCTACAGGGGCTTTAGGTGGCTTGAATACGAGCTACAAGTAGGGTAGTTTTTGTCGCAAGGATCCATGGCTTTGCTGGGCTTCAATCCAACTTGAGTGCATGCGAGTCGTGGTCCAGGGCTTTGGGTTGGGAGTTTTGCCTCGAGGTCTGAGTTCCGAAATGACCATGCAGAAAAGGCTTTATTCCATAAGGCCCGATGGAACAACAAAAACAGGAGGTCACAAGTTCGACCAGTTCTTTCATCGTGAATTCGAACCAGAGTGGGAACCTTAGTGAAACCACGAAACAGGCTCGGCACTTTTCAAAAAAATGAATCCATGCAACTATGATTGCGCCATTTCCTTGTTTGAGGTCCCGCTCGATAGAGGAGTGACTGCAGCTGTCGCCAACACAACCATTGCAATGTAGATTAGATGCTCGAGCTGACACTGAGCCGAGCCACTCGCGTGCAGACTACAAGCCCTCTGAAGCCAGAATCGGACCTTAAGCCCCGAAACCGAATGCAATAACAAAAATAATGACAGTACTAATACTAATGGGTCGGGGGTCGAACTCGACCTGTGTGTTTTGGCATATTTCGGCACCTGTAAATTAAGCCAATTCTGATTCTGGAGCATCAATTAAAGCCCACATGTTGGATAGCCCTTTCACGCCGCTTGGCACCTTTTCGATGTCCGGACGAGGCCGGTCGCTACAGCTATGCTCTGTTGCTGGGTCGCGAAAGATTTGGAGGTTCGTAGGCCATACGTAGGTTTCAGGCTTGAAGGTTAGGCTTTAGGAAAATCCTGACAACACCCGTCACCCGCCCGCGTTTACTCCTTTGCCAAAACACTATTGCAGGCTTACGACCTCAGAAGCCTAATTAAAGTATCCCAAAGCCCCTGTAGCCTCGACAGAAGCCTAAAAACCTGATTCATCTGTACACCACTTGGCCATCAGGCAGAACTCGCAGATCCGGGTGGTGCCTCCGCCAAGGTGCATGGGAACTACGCAAAGCATCTGAATTCTACAGGTGTAGGTTTTGAGGGATTTTGGACCCTCAAACACACCTCTACAGCCTCCGCCCTAATTCCGTAAGCCTTCATTCACCCCTGCAGATTCTAAGGTCTTAGTGGTTTCTCGATCCTCGTGTTTACTTCCTACATGGGCAAAGCCTTGACAGCAACGTCGGCGGCCCGGTCCGTTCCGTCATAGAATCCGCTACAGAATCCTTACAATATCCCTTAGGCCCTGTATCATAGTAACCTTGTAGTAGCCCCCATACTAACCCTTGTAGAACCCTTTCAAGGAACCCTACTCTAATCATTAAGGCCCCTATATCATGTGCCTCCTCCTCCTCCGATGCCTCCGGAGGCCCTTATGCCTGAAACCCAAACCCTTACAGAACCCCTTCGGCCTTGACTATGGGGCCTGAGGAAAACTCTGCAGAGCACTACCTGAAACCCCTGCGTGTTTCGAGCTCCTCATTAGGATTTTCCTGTTGAAAAGCTAGGCTGCTGTTGGTTCAGGTGAGCCCTCAAACGCACCGTAAAGCCAGGGTGGAAGGTTAAATGTTTGCAGCCTGAGGGATCTACACTCTACACAAGCCCAAACAGAAGTGAAAGACGGGTCTTCTTAATTAGAATAGGGCTGTGAGGTATAGCGACAACATATCCAAATCATAGAGTGGGATGTTACTACTAAGTACATTCCAATTCCTCCGTTAAGCCCGACTTCCACCTCTCAAGGACTCGTGGATGGCTGCGCGCCAGCGACTTAAAGGCATTCCTGTCATACTCAGGGCATGCTCTGCAAAGGCCCTTGTAAACCCCCCAACCCTAAACCCTAAGCCCCCAACCCTGAACCCAGCTGGGGAAAATGCGAGCTTTGGTTTCGGGCTCAGTTTCAAGCAGACTTCTGGGCCAGGGTTAGCAGACTGGTGGAGAATGTCGTTTGGGGCCAGAGCAACTCAGGTCAGGGTATGTGGTGTTTAGTTCAAGCCTGCGCAGTGAAATTTTGGGTTTAGGGTTTAGGGTAGTGAATTGTACTAACCCTAAACCCCAAGCCACAAACCCAAAACCCTAAACCGCGTGTCCTGGCTTCGCTGGCATTCTGTCGAAACCCTACGTAAGTCCCACACCCAAACCCCGGATCATGGGGGCTGACCTGTGACTGAACAGTAATGGGAGCACAAGGAAGTTGGGACGCCACCCTAAACCCAATGCCCTGAGACCACGCCCTAGTATTCCCAGGGTAGACTCAGCATGTCTGACATTTCCCAAAAGTTCCTTTCCTTTCATCCCCGTTTCAGATGCCAGACCCTTCAACCTGTCCCCTTGTATCCCAGGCACGGACAATGTACAAACAAAATGTGTGGCCCTCGAGCCTCAGATGAACTCTTCGGTAGGCTACTGCCGACGTACAGCCGAAGTCGTATAGTCGATGCTTACGGATGCAAACTCAAGCGGCCCCCGCTGCTCTGCCGAAAAGAGTCAAGGGGAGTAGTCATGTCCCTTATGGTCCCAATCTGTCCCAATAATTGTGGTAAAGCAATAACAACCCGTACCCTACGCCAAATACAAGACACCGAAACCTTTTTATGGAACCCTCATAGACTATTACCAAGCCCTCACGGAACTCCTAGAGAAAGGAACCCTATTCAACTTTTTTCTGTTAGTGGCCCCGACATTAAGCCCCCTGGCTACAACCCTAAATTTAAACCTTAAAAACCCGAACCCTAGACCCAAACCCTAAAACCTCATTCTAGAACCAAGATCCCGAGAGCCCCGGGTGTCAGCCATGCCGGCGGCACATCCCATAGGACCTTAAGAAGGCACTATTCCCTGAAGAGGCTTTGCGTTTAGGGTTTAGAGGTTGGGGGTTTAGGTTTGCGGGTTTTGGTGCATGTATGTACGTATGCAGGATAGTGATAGACAGACAGACAGATAGATAGGTAGATCGATAGAACGATCGACAGAAACATATATCGATACACAGATTAGAGGATATATCATGATACAGACAATAGATGGATAGACAGGTCGTTAGATAGATGAATAGATGAATGGACGGATGGATGAGGGCTCCGAGACTGCCACAGCCGAAGCGCAATGCACTCGAAAGTAACCCTGTGGGATTTCCCAACCTTAGGGTTAAGGGTTTAGGGATTTTAAGACTAATTACTCTGTCCATCAGGAGCCTGCTTTTGCTGTTCACCGAGGCCACCGCTGTAGCATCCGGTTCTGCGCCTCCTCTGGCCTTCCAACGACTTGGGAAACGCGAGGATCTGCATCAAAGCTAACCCTGAGACTCCCAAGCCCAAACCCCGTAACTGAGGAATATACCCTATACAGTACATGATAATGGATTATAGTAGGTTATAGTATACTATAGTAGATTATGGTATATTGTGCAGGGCTCCTGAATATTGTAAGGACTCCCCAACAAAGGTGCCCCTAATTTTCAGAAACTCCCAAGTAAATTCCTTAACAAATAGGGGACCCAAATATAGTACCCTAAATAGTAGGATCCTTATTATAAGGACCCCAATATACGGTACCCCTAATTCTCGGAAACTCTAAACCCTAAACACTTTACAGAACCCTTATAGATCCCTTTCAGGAACCCTTAACCCTAAGGCTCCATGTACCCTTATAGTAGATACTTAGGCTTTAAAATACCTATATAGGGACTCCTTTGGGGCTTAAGTCTCTACTATAAAGGTACATGGAGCCTTTGGGTAAAGGACCCCAAATTAAGGTACCCCTAATTTAACAAGAGCCCAGTTGAGGAACCCGGCCTTCCAGTCAAGGAAGGCACCTTCCCTGCCAGGTCCAAAGGCTGCACCTGACGGGGAAAGCAGGGTTGAGGATAGGGTTTAGGGTTTAGGGTTTCTTTTTTTGAGCCCCTTTTTCACCCAGGGTTTAGGGTTTAAGGTTTAGGGGTTTGGGATTTAGGCAAGTTTAGGATTTAGCCCAAAAAAGGCTCCATGTCCCCATATAGTAGGTACTGAAGCCTTACCTACATAGGGACCCCTTCAAGGCCTGAGTACCTACTATATGGGCACATGGAGTCTTAGGGTAGGAAAGTTTAGGGTTCAGCCCCTAACAGAAAATGAGCCTGTCTTTTCATGAAGAGCCCCACACCTCAAAACTGAAACGGATAGTATTGCTAAACCAGAGCAGCACCTGGCGTTGGCAAAGAGGAACAAGCTTTAATTCCCCGGCATTGGCAACTTACCACTCCACCCGGTCCCGAAGAAAGGGAGAAGACGCGCTCCGCGCTTTAGAAATTAAGCAAAGAGAGACGCGCATCGCAAAACCCGGCATCGGCCACCCCACTCGGTCCCACATGAGTGAAGACATACTGGGCTTTGAAGTAACCAGTGAGAAAAATACGGAAACATGAATTTCAGACTGGCTCTTTTGAGGAACGGGTCACAAAAAAGTATGGTGCTCCAGAACACACCAAAAAGGGAGTCCAGAGCCCGCATGAAGGGGAACAGGCGGAGACAAGCAAACACAACGGCAGGTTTGGCCACTCACCTACTGCCCCAAAGCGTGGGCATTCTTGTCCATGCTATCAAGAACCTCCACAGACAAACTTTTGAGGTATCAAGCTTTGGCCACCAAGCGACATCGAGATCCAGGCCTGCTCGAAGAAAACAGAACAAAACTAACCTCAAGTTCCCAAAGACAAAAGCAACAAAGAACGACAATGGACTACCCTCCGAATCATAACCCTAAACCCCGAAACCCTAAGACCCTAAAACACCTACACCCTAAACCGGAAAACCCGAAGAAGGCAACATGAAGTCTGAACTAGCCCCTTGGACCTTAATGCACCAAAACAAAACCTAATTCTTTCTAGGCTCTCGTTATGTATGGTTTTTATAGGGACTTCACCTAGCTAGGTCGTCCAGTAGCCCCTGAATTAATTTAACAAGGGAGACCAAAAAGCAAAGGGGCAAACGGGTTCTACTGGGGAATCCAGTCACTGTACCAAAATCAGAGAACTGGAAAAATCCAAAACCCTGAACCCCTAAATCCTAAACCCTAAATCCTAAAAGCGAAAACTAGGAAAACGGGAGTCTACCGGGGTATCGGAGTCAAACGAACTCCGCAGCTCTGGCCCAGGCCCATGCATCAAAATGCTGCAGAGCTCGGAAAATCCTAGGAAGAAACTCTAAACCCATAGGCCCCAAAGTAGTTCCTTTTTGGGGTTCATATTTAGAATCCTATAAGGTATTCCTAAAAGGAACTACTTTGGGGCCTATGGGTAAACGCTATATTATCCAAAATCAGCCCCCTCCCTTTCCAAGCCAACCAATCTAAATCAAGGTAGCCGAGTTGAGATCGGGCCTCCACATCTAAGGAGGGGTTCCAAAAGAAGGGCGCCGAGAGGCGACCCGCCACCTCGGGTGTTCAGGTTTGAGCCGGGGAGATATGTAGTTGCTCAATTTGGTTTTGAAGCAACCAGGAGAGAAAAAAGTATACACTTCTGGTTCATAATGGGTACGTAGTTGCTCTACCAGGTTTTGAGGTAACCAGGAGCAAAAAGTATACACGTGTGCTTCATAATGGGTCCTGTAAGGAACAGGTTGGGGCCCTGACACATGCACCCCAAGCCCTAAGAACAGGCCATGAAGCGCTGGTTCTGCACTGCTACCAATGCCTGCACTTGGGCAGTAGTCCTGGAACTTAAAGAGTTCACTGTGTAAGGTGTGGAGTCTTTGAGCTGAGGGTTACACGTTCGGGTAAGTGCTGCTTGGGAACATGATTAGGAACACCTGGTTCTATAACCCCAAAATACTGTAAAGGCGTAGACCCAACGTTTCATAATCAGGTTCCTACATTACATAACCCCCTTAGAACCATAATTGTGTTGAATTAATATTCTCTTGGATTTCATGTGAAAAATAGAAAGCTAATTCCAAAGGAAACTATAGATTAGGGTTGAAGCTCTGGGTCTCAACCCGGTCTCAGCAATGGACGGTAGGTCTCCGCACACGGTGGACCTGTCGGAACAGTGATGACAAAATCACTGTTCGGCAAGGCGGGGGTAAGGTCAGCAAGACCGCACAAAGCTGCGCAATGTCCACGGGGATTAAACTGAAACGATGCTCTCACTAGCGCGGGGTTGGTAGGTGTTGAAAAGCCTGTGCGAGGCTTTAAGTGAATACGCGTGGGTCTCCGATTAGGATCCCGTTTGAGGGTCCCGAAAACAGTACGGCACCCTCATTAAACAAGATCCTAACAGGCACCCCGGGTTGAGTCCACAAGCACTCGGAGCCCAGAAACAACCCAGAAAACCCCACAGAGCTGCACGCCTGGGACTACATCCACAGAGCCGCCCACTAACACCAGGAGTGTCCATATACTACGTACCAGTGTGGACTTAGGTCCACCGAAGCATACTAAGGATGCTCTCTTGAGACCTAATTCAAGAGTAGTAGTATATATGGACCCTCTGGACCCCAAACCCTAAACCGTTTATCTTTCAAAAGCTAGAAGCTCTGGAGCTCCATATTGCCCTAACCCTCTGAAGGCCTAAACTTGACCCGAACAAACTAGAACCCTAAGCCCCAAACTCCAGACCACACAGTGTCGGGGTTTACCAAAATAACCCAAAGTTAAGCCCGAAACCCTACTCCTTCCTAATCTAAATCCCTACTTAGCCCACATTTCAATTCCTATAGAGCCCCAATCTCCAGGGCCCCGGCCGAAACCCTGAACCCACAAACATCCTTTGCCCTAAACCTCCAGAGCCCTACAACCCCTTAATCCGTTAAACACCAACAACCAAGCCAAGTCTTCACTAAGGCCACCACAAAGGCTTCATGTACTAGTACCAGTGTTTCTAACGGCCTTTGTAGGGTTTTAATAAAGTCAGCTTCGTAATTTACGAAGGTCTTTCGCGGCTTTAAAAGGTTAATGAAGAGGAGCTCCCAGGCTTTGTATGGTTTGGCTGCTTCGGGTTCTAGGTTTTGAAGTATGAGGTTGAGGGCGTGGTTCTGGCATCACGTAGAACCAGTCATCCGAAGCCCTGGGGGGCTGACTCCCTAAAGCTTATAAACCCTGAATCCCCACCTGAAGCCCCAGAAAGCTCGAGCCCTAAACCCTAACCCCTAAACCCTGACTCTTAACCATCAGCCCTTGAACCCCAAGCCCCAAGCTTACGAATTCGAGCCCTAATGCCCATCAACCCTTAACCCAAACCCAGAACAAAAAACCTTCCTAGACCCCCCGACTACCCTTATAGTAGTCCCGAATTACCTCTTGATGAGAAATGCTTCGTAATTTACGAAGGTCTTTCGCGGCTTTAAAAGGTTAATGAAGAGGAGCTCCCAGGCTTTGTATGGTTTGGCTGCTTCGGGTTCTAGGTTTTGAAGTATGAGGTTGAGGGCGTGGTTCTGGCATCACGTAGAACCAGTCATCCGAAGCCCTGGGGGGCTGACTCCCTAAAGCTTATAAACCCTGAATCCCCACCTGAAGCCCCAGAAAGCTCGAGCCCTAAACCCTAACCCCTAAACCCTGACTCTTAACCATCAGCCCTTGAACCCCAAGCCCCAAGCTTACGAATTCGAGCCCTAATGCCCATCAACCCTTAACCCAAACCCAGAACAAAAAACCTTCCTAGACCCCCCGACTACCCTTATAGTAGTCCCGAATTACCTCTTGATGAGAAATTATTAGAGCACCTTAAAAGGTACTTGGGGGGCTCCTGGTTAACCCCGAAGCTTCGGTTTTCGGGTTGGTGGGCTTCTCCGCCGGGGATCGCGCCGTCGCTGGGTAGCGGCCGCCCGTGATGAGTTGAACTACCTCCACATGACGGATTCAATTGTTTTTCCCTTTTCTTTTGGGGGGGGTCCTATGTGCATGTGTCTAAATATATATATATATATATATATATATATATCTACGTATACATCACTCTCTACCCATACACATAGACACATGCCTGTGTGTGTCTATTGATACATTACTTAAAAAGGTTCTGGGTTTTAGGGTATAGCGTTGCGGTCCGGTGCCGAAAAAGCTGCGTCTAAGGAAGGGACACATTGGACGACACTTCCTTATATGCAAGCCCGAACTCAGAAGGAAAACAAACTGAGCTTATTGCGACCTTGCCGACGTGTGTTGAACAACCATTATGTGCACCATCTGTTCGATCTGAACTGAAAACTAAGTGAGTGAGTGAGTGAGTGAGTGTCGACCAGCACTTAAGGTGCGGCCTTCCTCCCACATCCCTCTCAACATCTCAGGGGGCCTCCGCAAGCGTCATCGCCCCCCTCCGTCCCAGAGCTCAAGTGGGGGAACACACTACGTAGCTACAAGCAATGCAGACAGGTCACAATGTAGAATACTAGGGTACATATTTCAAACCCAAGAATCGGAGAGACATAGCCCTTGATGAGGGGTAAACCAAGCGAAATCTGTTCACGGTGTTCGAGAGGTCCACCAAGTTTCGGACGTCAGACGGTGAATGGCGGCTATGCCGCTTCAGCCGCCCTCTGCCCACTGATTACCGACGTGAGAAGACAGGTGACAAATCGTGTGAGCGATCCTGTCGTGCGCTTCCCTGACCCTGCCGGACCCCAAGGGTCCTAGGTACTGCTATGGGAGATACTTCACCAAATCATAATAGTAATTCCTATTATAGAAACCCTACATTCTACCACATAGGTACTTTGGGGCCTTTGGGGGAATGTGCTGCATCTGGTTGGTGACATCGTCCAGCACTGTCAATTCATCTTCGTTGACCGTTTCTGCTTTAAACTTCCCTGCCAAGTCATTGACGGCCACAAAGTCTAGCAATCTAATGATGGCATCCGTGTAGATATAACGATTACCGCCAAACTCGCATCTGAAACATCCATTCTTCAATGCCTGTTCAATTTCAGACCCTTTTGCCCAACAGCTTCTTCATAAACGTCTTGGACAAGGACGTGCCAACGAGCACCATAAGACAAGAAACGTAGCTCATTGTCTATGCGAATGCCCAACGGAATCTCATCTGGCTGCAGCTTGTGAAGTTCATCATCCCTCAGCATTGCATTCAGCTTAGCTTGTGTGGATCGAATTGAAAGCCCTAAACCCTAAACCCCAAACCAAAGCTTAGATTTTGTGATTTCGGGTTGGGGGCGTAGTTTCTGGGGGTAGAGTGCATCCGATGTATAAATGGCAAAAGCAGCATGCGGGCCATCCTTCAACCCAACCCTCAACCCGAAACATACAATTCCCACATCGGCCATAGATACTTTGGTCTCTTCAATACTATAACAGATCCCATAAAGCAATTGTAGATCCCTTGTAGATGCCTGAAACAGCCCCTACATGAAATGATGGCGAACCCAATAAACTCTACAAGCCCTAGAATCCAAATAAGATCGTATATACCCTGCAAAATCGATAAACCACGCTAAACGACACCAAAGCACACTCCATTCAACACACACCTAGAGGCCACTATAAGCCCATCGGGAGCCCTTATAGAACCCCTGTTAACTAGACCCTGAACATAAGCCCACAGGCCTAAACCCCAGACCCGAAGCCGCGAAGCCCCAAGCAATAAACCCACAACCCTAAACCCAAAGCCCTAAACAGTCAACTTAAAGCCATATAAACCCAAAACTCCCTAAACCCTGAAAAGTGATGCTGTCTGGCCTCTCCGAGGTTACAAACCACGGAGGCTGGCTGAGGGGTTGCTTCCACCCAGCCTCAAAGCAGGGTTTAGGCTGTTAAGGTTTGGGATTGATAATGCTCTACGGGTCTTGGGTTTCGGGTGTTGGGGGTCTCGTGGTGGGTTCAGGGAGCTCTATTCAGGTTCCACAATGGTTCTGCAAGCTCGGTTTAGGGTTTAGGGTTTTGTCTGTAAGTGTTCCACAACTGCCTTTAGTCTGCTTGGGCCAGGAACTTTAGCAGCTCTTGGTCACGCTTGGACCATTCCATCAAAAGAAGCATCCGAGGTGGGGCTTTGAAAGCCTTTGGAAAATATTAGTAACGAAGATCCTCTTAAGCCCAATAAGGGAAATGTAAAATGTCCCAAAGCCCTACCTAGTATCCGTTCAGCCATGCCGAAAAGCAGGTCCTGCATTGGAATTCCAAGCCTAATTCAAGACTTTGTCAGCACAAGCATGCTCACAGTGGCACGAAACGCACGCCGCCATCCTGGCATGTGCCGAATCGCAGACCTTGCTGACGGAAGATGCCCACATTCCAGATGCCCCGGTAAGAAGAGGGAGTTTTTGAAAATTAGGGGCACCTTATTTTGGGGTCCTTATAATAAGGATCCCACTATTTAGGGTACTATAATAAGGCTCCCCCATTTTCGGAAACTCCCAAGGAGGAGCAAGGCCAGGATGATTCCCAGCAGCGGCCGCGCCTGGAAGCTCGCCGCTTTGCATCCTTCACGGGTTTCTCGGAGGGCTCCTTACCCATAGGCCCCAGAGTAGTTCCTTTTTGGGATTACCTTCTAGGACTGAGGGTTTAGGGTTTAGGGTTTAGGGTTTAGGGTTTAAGGTTTAGGGTTTAGGGTTTAGGGTTTAGGGATATATGAAGGAACTACTTTGGGGCCTTAGGGTAAACACGATCATGGGCATGGCAACATGGAGCCTTGGCCGACTTCTGAACCCTCCTAAAAGTTAAACTTTTCGCCTCCTTATTTATGGTGCATGCAGAAACCCAAAAAAATCAGAACGAGCCAACCACAGGAGCTGCAAAAGCACCCTAAACCCTAAACCCAATCCCTAATCCCTAAAGCCTAAACCCTAATCCCTAAACCCTAAACCCTAAACCCTAATCCCTAATCCCTAAGCCTAAACCCTAATCCCTAAACCCTAAACCCTAAACCCTAATCCCTAATCTCTAAACCCTAAACCCTAAACCCTAATCCCTAATCCCTAAACCCTAATCCCTAACCCCCCAACCCTAAACCCTAAACCCTAATCCCTAGACCCTAAACCCTAATCCCTAATCCCTAAACCCTAAACCCTAATCCCTAAACCCTAAACCCTAAACCCTAAACCCTAGTCTTGGTAAAATTCAGCCCCTAGCCCTGGCTCTTCCTCTGAGCCTCGAGCTCTGAAGCCTGAGTTCTCTGTGGGTTGGGGGGTCTACTTCTATATACCTTTACCATGAATAGAGTAGAAGCCGGAAAGTTGGAACATCATTAGCCTCATGACCCTACAGTAAAGTATAGGGGAATCCCAGCATGAATCATCCTAAATCTATGTTCCAACTTTCTGGGGATTACTTTAACCTACCCTTTTTAGGGTTCCTTATTATGATTTCCTTATATAAGTCCTTACAAAGGTAGGTTATTCCGGGTTAAGGTAGGGGTTCCTTTAAGGGCAAGGCTCGGTTTAGGGCCTTATAGTAGACACCAAAAAGTTGGAACTTGGAGTTAAGATGATTAGCGCTGCGAATCCCTATTCTTTAACTTAAGGGCATGAGGATAATCATGTTCCAACTTTCTGGCTTCTACTATTCTTGTAGGAGTTCCTTTGAGGGCTCCTTTAAAGGGATCTATAGGGATTCTACAAGGGTATAGGCCTACTTGGAGGGTCATGGGTAGTTATAAATGGAGTGAATAAGTAGGGTAAATGCACTTAGAATGCCGATACTCCAAGAGAAAAGAAGGAGTCTTTAAGAGACACCCCTAAGCCCCAAAGCCCCTTTCCCACCCCAAACAGGACCCCTAATGTTAAGAACCCGACGAACCAAGAGAGCCCAGAAACCCCTGAATATGCCTTAAATTATTAGGGGCTTCATAGTATGATTTAGGCTATATCCCCAAGGGTCCATGTACCCCAATAGTATATACTTTGGCCCCAATGTACCTGTATAGGCCAATGTATATACTATTTCGGTACCTGGACCCTTTAGGGTTTCCTGAATTAAGGGATATATTGAGCTCTCTGGGAACCTGTCCCCTGGGCCACCTCCGGAGGCATCAAGGAAGTCGAGACCTCCACTGGAATCCTCCAATTTGTGTGTGTGTTTTTTTGAGGGGGGGGAGGTTGGGTTTAGGTTTAGGAGTTTAAGAGTGCTGGGTTTAGGGTTTAGGACTGTAAGAGTTCAGCGTTTAGGGTTAAGGGTTTTGGGTTTAGGGATTCTTGTTGACATGCAGTGGGCCTTTCACTCAAACTCGCGACGGGGTTGCTTTAGGAGTTAAGGTTTCAGGGCTATGGGCCGTGGGTTTAGGTGTCTAGGCTGAACTTGCTTTGCAATTTAGTCATACCCTATAAGGGTCCAGGTATCTCCTTAGGAGGGTCCGGAATGTTCTGGGGAGAGTCCTTGGGCCTCTTTGGGGTCTCAGAAACCCTCAATTCTGAGGTTCCCCAATTTGCTAGGACCCTTAGGGTAAGCACCCTTGTTGGTGGTAAGGGGTGGGGGGCCTTGCCCCCCGCGATCAAGGTCTAACAAGGCTTGCTTACGTAATCCCATGCAGTAGAAGCCCAAAAGTCGGAAACCAATAGCCTCAGCCCTTAAGACTTAAGAGTAATGCATAGGGAATCCCAGCACTATGTGTCCCTAATTAACCCGGTTTCCAACTTTTCGGGGTCTACCATAAGGCCCTAAACCCTAAAGCCCTAAAACCCTAAACCCTAAAACCCTAAGACCCTACACCCCTACATAAACAGGTACCTACTAAAGAACTAAAGGTTAACCTTTTTGGTTATATAGGGGTTATATATGGACTATACTACCCACAAGAGGCTAAAGGTTACTTACTCCCAAGAGGTCCATATACACTACTATTATGGAATTAGGCTCCCAAAACCATAATAGGGATGGTCTTTGGGACCTAATTCCATAATTGTAGTACATATGGACCCTCTGGGCTCTACTACTAGGGGTAATACTTCCTCCCCGCTTACCAAGCTCTGCTTTTCTCTTCGATTCGGAGCTGCAGGATGCAGCTGAGATCGTATCCAAGGGTAGAAGGAGGGACCCTTAATAAGGACCCCTAGGTATATACCCTTAATATAGCTATGATATACCCCTTATATAGCCCATTATAGGGTAGGGGTCCCCACTAAGGGTCCCTCCTTTTCCCCTTTGACAGTATACTAGCCTGTTCAGTAACCCAGAGAGCCCAATACCCCTTAATTAAGGAATATAGCTTAAATCATAATATGAAGCCCCTAATGATCTAAGCTCTATTCCTTAATTGATGGGGTATTGGGCTCTCTGGGAACCCACTGGGAAAAAGTATATACTTTCTTAGGCTTCTTATTTTATAGTAGGAACCCAGAAACCTGAAAGTAAACAGTGACAAGTGTACCACTGAACAGCCTGGTATACGAAGACTATAGGGACCTGAATAGTTAGGACGGGGTGTCGCTACAGGGCTCTTCTGAAGGTTTTTAGGGCTGTTCTGCAGGGTTGTATAGGGTTCTGATGTAGAGTTCGCTGCCATGTTGTCTTCCTTTACGAGGCCGATTTGGCAAACTTATGACAAGGGATCCCGACCACGCTAATCCAACAAAGCCGCAAACAGAGCCTTCCAGCCCCAGCCCTCAAAAAACTCTGGAGATTGAAGACCAAAATCCATCAGAATGCGTATGAAACCCGGATTTTGAGGATTATAGGGTTCAGACAAAAACATCAAGAAACCTAGATTCCCTCCTGCAGCAGCAGCGTGAGGAAGCCGGAGTCACTATGCGGACCAACACCGAGAAGACCACCTGCTGATAAGAGAAGGTTTAAGGGTTTAGTGAGGGTCCTCGGGCTTTAGGGGTTACAGTCGTGTCCCTAGAAAGCTGGAACATGGATTTAGGGTCATTCGTGCTGGGATTCCCCAAACTTTTACCTGTAGGGCATTCGGATGATGATGATGTACCAACTGTCTGGCTTCTACCTCAATTCCTTTAGCTTCGGCCTGTTGGTAGGAGAGACGGTTTAGGGGTTAGGCCTTCAATGCCAGTACGTGTTTAGCGGTTTTAATGCGTATACGACTTTACGGCTTCATACTTCGCAGTGCCTCCAACAAAAGTGGCATGTATTTTAAACGCTAAACCTTGAACCGCGAGGGTCATATGCGTTGAGCTAAGATCCGCCTTCATGGTGTCGGTTTCCCATGCACTTTTAGGGCTCCATACGGTTGATGATACAAATCCTGCATGACCTTAAGGACCCTAAAGTATGGGAATGAAGGTATATTCCTTATTATGGGTAATGCAGGGCTTTTATCATCAACCGTATTGCGGTTTCTTGATAAAAAACATTCAAAAGGTGGGGTTATCAGGGGTTCAGGCAAGGTTTCAAGGTTTCGAGTTTATTGTAGGGTATACACACAAAGTTTGACAGCCCCAAAATCTGAAAACCCCGGGCAGGGCAAAGGGGCCTAAGGAAGTGGACCGAGTCTTGTGTATGCATGGCACTTGGAGGTTCATGGGTAGTTATCATTACAACTAGGGTTATAAGTAGGGTAACTTTAGATATAACCCATATTCGGGGACTTATAAAAGACTATCAAACCTATAACTACTCGTGAACCTCCAAAGTTCAAAACAAGTCTCTTTGTGCTGCTTGTTGATGCGCATGCAGTGCACCTTACACACACTGACCTCTTACACCCGAAACCCGTCCACCGAATGCCCAAGTACTACTTTGAGCTCAGACCTTGCACGTGCACGAAGTCTCAATATTATCGCACAAGGGGTTCTAGGAAGGCATTCCCGGACAGTAGCTAAATGGCAATGGTTCACAAGACCTGTCCCAAAACTCAGATGACGCAATCTGCGGCCGGGAAAACCTAAGCGTAAAGCCTCAAACCCGAAAAGGCTCCAGCATTTCACAGGGGCTGAAGACCTGTGCCCAAGAAAGGATAAACCTTTTCAGGTACGGCGAGAGTATATAAAGCCCAAAAAGCCAAAGGTTACCCACCCAACCGCTAAGATTGTGCCTCCATTATGAGACTTTCCGACATGGAGTCCCTTCTTTCGGGTTGAGGGTCTACCTGGGCCCTAAGCAACTCACATTTGTTCAGGGCTCCTCCTTGTAACGTCTTCAAATCCTTGAAAAGGGTGGTAGGTTTTATGGGTGACGGTAGGGTTTAGGCTCAGCCTTTCTTGGCATAATTCTCTACATACAAAAGTTGCCAGAAAAAGGTATGCTACAGGGGGTTACGGTATGGTTTAGGCGCAGCCTTTCTTGACCGAAGCCAAAATTCCGAGCCTTCCGCATCTTTGGCCGGAGTCGGATAATGCACCAACTTTGCCTGGCACTACTTGGAGGTTCATGGGTGGTTATAGGTAGGGTTATAAGTAGGGTAACTATACTTATAACCCATGGTAGGGGACTTATATAACAACTCCACGTATAAGTACCCATGAACCTCCAAGTAGGAAGTGTGGAATTTCCGGGCTCGGGACGGCGACGGAGGGCTTGGTTGCATTATACTCCCTATGTATGTATATATATATATATATACATATATATATATATGTACACACACTTGTGTTTATGTAACAGGCAAAGAAACAAAGTAGAAGATGGAACGGTACTAATGCTTCAAACTTCCGTAACTTGGCGAATTCATTAGAGGTCGGCTGCATTCTAGCCTCTGAGAACAGAACTCCCATTCTAGAACCCTTCGTGGTAATTGCTCCAGACTCCTGCGGGTAGTATTGATTCTTTCGTGAGTATCGCCTTACACTGACCCCTCCTCTCAATTCACTGGCCCAAAACCCAAGGAAACAGAAGTTGAAACTTTCAGAATCGACTAGCTTATAAGAGCCCAAAAAAGTTGAAAAGTTGAGTTCACAGCCAGCATGTCAACACATTTGTAGCACAGCAAACCTAAAACAGAAAGCCAAAGTCCGTATGCCGAAAGGCCGCTGGAGCCGAAGAGAATCGCCCCATATTTACATCTCTCTCTCTCTCTCTCTCTCTCTATATATATATATATATATATATATTATACAGATTATATATATATATATGTACATTACACACACGCATTGGGCCATATGATGGAACGATAGGATTTTACTAATTGTTCCGATCCCATATTAGACCCAAGAGTATCCTAGGAATAAAAAGGGTGCCCTTTTTGGTTAAAAGGGGCTTAGAAGGGAACCTGAACCCAAAAAAAGGGACTTAGTGACTAAGGGCTTACTCCAGGTCCTAGCATATTGCTAACCCAGAGCCGACCCAGCTGGTTTCAGATCCCTTCTGCCTGTACATGCGGCTCACGGAAGTAGGCATCCAGACCTGTCTCCGTCAAACCTTCCAGAGGATTTAGGGGTATGGGCTGACGCTTTGAGGATATTTAGAGTTTGCAGCTTTGGGCTGAGGCGTTAGGGATCTTTAGGCTGTCGGGCTAAAAAACATAAGGCTCTGACACATTGTAGGTTACGGGCTCCGCGGATGCTTCAGTTGGAATCAGGGGGTTGTCGTGGCCTCCGGGTGCACCGGCTTTGCCGCATGGCCCTGTTTGGGCTTGGGCAGCCAAAATTTTGGTGTGTCTGGGGTCTTGGCACGAGAAACTTCACAGTGTCCTGACTACACACGGAAGAGCGAGCTGAAATTGAAAGAGATCTGCTGCTTGCCATTATTCTGCACCCTGCTACCAAGTCCTAAACCCTAAAACCAATAGACACGTGCTGCTTTTTCATATGGTTCGACGCCTTCGCTTCGAACAAACAGACACCTGGTTGTATCCAAGTTTCGGGTCTGTGAACATTGACATTTCAAAGCTGCGCTTCAAGTTGTAGAACTCAGTTCTTGAAAATAGGGCTTATATAACAGCTGAGAATGCGCCCTAATATTGAACCTGCAGTGTCAGCCATATTATACGACAAACCCCCGCAATGAGTGCTGAACCCTCGACGTCGCACCCTGAACCCTAAATAAGCCCTGAAATCCTACACCCTAAACCTTGCAGCAACGACAGAAACCCTGAACTCAAACCAAAAGATGAACTCAAAGCCAGATTGTCCCTTTATACTGCCAGAATTATAAACTGGATCCGAAATTGGGGACCTAACTTACTAACTATATGGGTGGTTGTCAAAATTATGCTCCCTTGTTGGGTCCCCAATATAGTACGGCACCTTATCGATTTAGGGTACCCAAAAAGGGACCATAGTCTTGACAACTACCCAATGTAGTAGTATACATGGACACTCTTGGAAAGCCGGAATCTGCCAACTCTAAAGACAACACCGTGCCAAACCCTGATGTAAGAGCCTGCATGGTTAGAGTGTGAGTGGGGGGGGTTCGGGAGCACTGAAGTAAGAAACCCGAAGGAACAATGATGGTAATTGTTATGGTCCCCATGGTGTACAAAAAGCTGAGGCTATAGGCTCCGAATCCTGAGCCGACAAACCCCAGACACAACAACCAACCCCAACTCTAACTCCCTAAAACCCTATAAACCCTAAACTCTGAACCCTGAACACGACTTGACCCTGAAGCTCAAAAACTGACAAACCCAAGAACCCATGGAACCGATCAACCGAAGCATTTCGTTACTGTGGGGGGTCCGAATGCTTAGCATTCAATGGTATCCCCTTAACCCTAAAAGCCCAAACTGCAAAATCACTGCCCAAACCCTGTTCCAATTATCAAGACCCGCTTTTGTTCCTGACACCACGTAACGAAATCTTACAAATCTCTAAACAGACGTTGAGGCTGTGGAAAAACCCATTCCAACAAGCCACGCTCCCGTGTTATTTAGAGATCCACCTAGAGACACCGCCAGTGCACGTGTTAGCTGACGCGACAGCTCCTGATCGGAACAATCCAGGATCTCACGTGGGGCTGTCGGCTTCATGATCTTGGGTTGCTCAGGTTTCGGGGACCGATAGACTCTGAGGCTTAGGGTTCCGAGTTGATTCAGAGAAAGGAACCCGCCATTCCCGTCGAGCGTGTGCTGAACATGCACAGGACAGCGAACCCTGCAACTATTCAGGAAGTGAGCCCTGGAACATCGCCCAACCATCAACTCGAACGCACTGCAACCCACACCGACTGCCCTAAACCCTGAAGCCCCAAACCTAAAAACTCATTACGGGCCAGGAATAGCAGCAGTCTCCAGATTCGGGATCCATGACCCATGCTAGAGCATCTTGGGCCGGCCACATATTTAAAGGGTTTAGGAGGTTTAGGACTGAAAGCAACAAGCGTATGCCAATTACCTGGGTCCCGTAAGAATCTGCTCCGCGAAGTTGATGATATTTCATGTGAGGTACTGGGAAGAACCGCAGTAAACTTCCGAAGCCGTTGACGAGACCTTTTTTTAGAGAGTGTTGACCATTCAGGGTTTGTGAGTTTCACGCTTTAGGGGTTAATGGATTCCAACGGGTGTATGGCTGCCTAGGACCTGGAACCGCCGACAACCACTGTCCAAGATTGCAGAAGTCAAGTCGTCCCACATCTCATGGAGTCGTCGCTCCCTGCTGTGTTCCTGAATACTTACTGTGCAATTATCATTGTTGTTACTGTCGTAACTCGTAGCAGATGCGTCTGACTATAGCCTATAGAACTAGTTTTGCGTAAAATCCGCCCGGTCACCCTCGCCCCGACCCAAGAGAACTACGTCAACCAAGACCGAGTATCTGAACGCATGGCTGACTGTAGGGTTCAGGGCTTAAAGTTATTGGAACAGAGTTTGGAGCTTAGGGTGTGTGTGTATATATATATATATATACACAGTATGTTCACATAAATGCTGTGTATACATATGTATATATATATACATCCATACATACATATCATCCAAAACACGAAACCCTTGTCCTCCATTTCAGCCAGCCTGCACGAAGTGTGGCTATGAAGTACAGCATAGTGCAGCATTTCGACCGTTGCTTCTGTCGTGGTTCAGTTTCTCTGGAGGCCATGCTGTTCAAGATGTCGTTGCTTCACGGCTGTAAGTGTGACTCTTTACGGTAGACGGGACCGTTACAACGAAGATTGCCATTTCTCCAGGCCTGCATTCCCACCACCGGATTTCAGCCCGACCTTGTCAGTTCACTCTTTCGGACTTACCTGTTCAAAGTTCACTCTTTCGGACATACCTGACATACCTGTTCCGATGCAACAAGCGGGTGTGCCAAGGACAGAGATGTCACCGCTTTTCACAGCTGACACGGAGAAGTTTGGACGCAAAACTACCCCGCATCATCTACAACGTTCAGCCTGGAATTCCTCAAACCAGACACGCAGCCGCCAAAAAACACGAGCGCTCTCTAAAAGTCCCTTGATCCGAAAGACGAAGAACAAACAAAATCCAAAGCTCCTGATTGCACTGTTCAGTTGACAGCGAACCCTGCACTATGCATTCGAGTCCATTCTATGGCATATCCGACATTTTGCAAAACTGTAGACTGTAGAAGTCCTGCAGAACCGTGATTTCAAAACACCCCTAGCACTGAAGAACTAGACACCAACAACAAACAAACAACAACACAAACAAACAAACAAACAAACAAACAAACAAACAAACAAACAAACAAACAACACACGAACAAACAACAGGCCAAACCAAAAACACACACACACACACACACACACACACACACACACACGAACCCCTGCAGCATAACCCCCTTAACAATGCAACCCCACCCCTTATTACCTAGCCTCTAACCCCTAAACGCGTGCCCCGAGGCAGCTACCATGAGGTCATCAGCGGCCGCAGCGACGTTGGCTGCTCTGGCCACAGGTTCGGTCCTGGGCTTCGCAAAAAGGGCTTAGGGTGCAGGGTTTAGTTTTACGGTATACGGTTTAGGGTTTTAAGTTGAAGATGTAGACATTGGGGTTTCCGGTATAAGTTTTGCAAGGTTACATTCGGCTTTACAGGGTTTCATATATGAAATTCGTTTACAAGGCTTTGTGAGGGTCTGACGATATTCTATGAGTACTACAAGGGCGTGAAACGGATCCATATGGAAGTTTTAATGTCTCGAAGGCAGAGTCTCGTCTGGGTTGTCGAAGCACTCTTAGGCAAATGAATACGGTCTATTGATGATAGTTTCCGAAAGTTAGGAGTACCCTTTTTTCGGCGTGTCCTTATAATAAGGATCCTACTATTTAGGGTGCTATATTCGGGTCCCCTATTTTCGGAAACCCCTGATGATAGTGTAGTATTTGTCTCGGGTTTGGGGCATTCTGGAACTCTAGATGGTCAGGCTGACAGCACACCCTAAACCCTAAACCCTAAACCGTCACAGAGCTTGAGCCGTCGGGACTAAGGCACAAGCCGGGGGACAGGCCGAAAGTCTACAGTCCTCGGTCTCCAAACGCGATCCTGAAACTTCCGAATATGGGAGTTTCCGAAAATAGGGGACCCTAATGTAGTACCCTAAAAAGTAGGATCCTTGTTATAAGGACCCCCAAAAAGGTACCCGAATTTTCGGAAACTCCCATATAACTGCCCTGTGCATGCTTTTCTGCTGCTGGCTTTTAAGGCTTGTATTACAGGTTAATCACGCTTTACAGAAATGATAGCCATGGCATTAATGGGTGTGGAAATACTTTAGCGCAACAAACATCTAGGCAATGTTCAATCCCAGCCACCTCGCAAGCGGTTGTACAGCGTGTGAGGCTCCTCGCGGCGAGGACCTACTACGCTCAAGCCCTAAAAGTTCCTACGCAAAGTTTACAAACTAGGCTCCTGCCCCTTAATACCAATGGTATCTTTCCCTACTACTTAGGAAACTCCCGGGAGAAAAAGGGCAAAAGGGTACTCGTGGGGAAACTTTCGAATTTATCCTTCAGCTCTGACGTAAGGCGACTGCGGTGCTTATAGTCGCCATCAAACGCGAATGCGATGGTTTCGGTTTAGGGTTCCGGGTTTGAGAATTAGGCTTACGGTTCAGGTTTCGGTTTCGCGGTCTCAGGGAGGTTCGGCTTTCCAGAAGGGTCAATGTGCCCATAAAGTACTATACTTCGGCTGTAAAGTATTCCTATATAGGTACTTCAGGGCCAAAGTATCGACTATACGGGTACACCGACCCGGGCTGTCGGTGACTCGACATGTGGACTTTGACTCTAGCTCTAGTTACAGCCAATAAGCCCTAAGCCTCCAACTGCTTCATGAAGTTAATCCCCCGAAACCTTTCCTCAACCTCCAGCCCAACCCCTCAGGCCGTGATTGCATCTCGGTTGAAACGAAGACGGTTACCCGAAACCCTTAACTCTGAACTCTGAACCCTTAACCCTGAACCGCAAACCCGAAACCCTTAACCCTCAACCACAAAGAGCTTCGAACAACTCTTGGAACCCGAGGACCTCAATACTCCTTCCAAGGCTAGAAAGCGACGGTTGACGACCCCTCGCACTCTGGCAAAGTGCGGGATAACTGGACTCAGGTCGGTTTCTACACAAGAAAGCCATTCCCAAATTGTCGACACCCTGAAACCAAAACCCCCCAAACCAAACAAGGAAACAAAAACTGCAAAGACTTCGACCACTGGAAAGAGTAACCCTCAACCCCAAACCTGAAACCCTGGAGAGCGACCCTTACAGTAGCCCTTATAAACTGTCCTCTCGGCTCCTCACCGGTCGGCTCTCCTTCGCGAGGAGTTGTTGGGGCTCGTAAAAAGGTGAGGGTTTAGGGTGTAGGGGCTAGGGTTTAAGGGTTTAGGGTTTAAGCTTTAGGGGGTGGGTGTAGGGTTTTAAGGGTTTAGGGCTTAGGTTTTTAGGGGTTGGGCTTGGGGGCTTAGGGCTAAGGACGCTATAAGCCTAAGGCTACCCGATGAATAGCAAACCACGCAAACCTTGTGAAGACTCATACTCCAAACTCCAGGGTTTTGGGTGCCAGGCTTATCTGCAGCCGTCATTGCAATTCCATCTTGGTGACCCTGCTACTTCATGCATGAAACAGAGGGAGCAAAAAATATCGCTGCCCAAATAATTACCGATACCATTTTTGCGGGGTCCTTATTGTAATTATAGTATACTGGGCCCCAAAACCCTATTCCAATTAGTCAGGCCCCTATATTAATCTCGATCATGGAGTTGGTGGAGGTTTGACACAAAAGCGGAGGCATCCACACAACCTTCATCGTATTGTAGAAGCCAGAAACAAGCAGTTTCTCACGTGTCCCACACGAGTAGCATACCCTGCCTGGAGGTTCACGGGTAGTCTATAAGTGGGGTTAATAGGTCTCCTAATATAGGTTTATAAGTATGGTTACCCTACTTAAAAACCCACTTATAGCTGCCCATGAAACTCCAAGTGCCTTCGGCAATCACGACGGAGTATTGTTATGGGACCTCTACAAATTCTATTGCTGGGGTGGGTCTTGTCATCAAGACCCTGCGAAGATGTAGGTTATATACACTGCTTTGATTTAGGGAACGCAGGCCTGCCGAAGTCACCGGACTGAAGGGCTACGGCCTCACAGACTTCCTTCTCGAAGCCTTGCGCCCAGAGACTGTGATCCAAAACTTCCTTTCTTCGAGGACCACGGGGATGTCCCTTTTCGAACAGGCCATGCTTCTCCTTCATGAGTTGTTGCCACGCTCCTGTGGCCATGGCTGCAGCTGCGTCGACAATGCGAGGTTCCCTCCAGTCTTCGCCTTTGAGAAGTTCTAGGGAGGCTTCCCCAGATCTTTGACGGATACTAGCTCCATTAAGTGTTCGCCTTCGAGTGTGGATTTTTTGATCTGATAGAGGTCTCGCACGCTTTCAAATTTTCACCGCTGGTGATCCATCGCCTCAGGAGTACACCCTTTTCATGCCACCATGAAAATGACAAGAAGCATCCTCCGGCAATAAACCTCACGTGCAAAGCTCGATTGTCATGCCGCCAAACCCTGCACTCTTAAGCCCTACACTCCATGTCTCCTGCACTCCCAGACCCAAACCGTGACCTGAAAGCCACCCAAACCCTGAACAACACCTGAAAAAGCGTATGACTCCACCGCCTTAAACCTCGATTCCTAGAACTCCGGAATCCCTGGAAACCTGAATCCGCAAAACGCTGACATGAAATTTGAGCCCAGATGATCAGATCGCAAGCCCAACAGACGAAAAGGCCCAAATTTGGACCAATCTAATGGGATATACAGACAGGGTTTACGGTTTAGGGCTCAGGGTTTAGGGCTACGGATTAGGGTTTGGGTTGAAGGTCTACATGAATCCACAAAACACATAACTTTGGACGGACTATATTCGAGAATGCAAGGAAAACATCAGAGGAAACGCCCATGACCCATAGTTTCCCCATAATCCACAAACCCATAACGACAGTAAGCCATCATACAGCCCCTTACGAAGCCTTCATCAAAACCCGCATGCTTTTGTAAGATAAACCCTAAACCCTGAACCTAAACCCTGTAAACCTTGAACCCTCAACCCAATGCAACCCCAGCCGCCTCCCTGCCGAACTCTATCTGCTCACGCCTCGGACCGAAAACGTGTTCTCTGTGGGGTTTAGGGTTGAAGGGTTTAGGGCTTAGGGTTAGGGTTCAGGTTTGGGTTCCATTAAGGGGCTCCTTTCAGAGGTACGATACTACAGTAGAAGCCAGAAAGTTGGAATATCATTATCGTAACCCCTTTAAGGTCAATTATAGGGGATCCTACCATTAATCCATATTCCAACTTTCAGGCTTTTACTAGATCTAAGAGTAACATAGGAACAACAAGGGTGCCCTTCTTGGTTTAAAGGGGGTTATAAGGGAACCGAAACCCTCAAAAAGGGAATAAGGGCCTACTCTGGGTCCTAGTTTACTTTAAGGGTTTAGAACAGGGGCCTGCAGCATGCTATGGCTGTTGTTTCGGTTTTTGCGGGACTAAGGCTTCAGAGGTTTAGGAGGTTGGGGGTTTGAGCATCTGGGGTCTGACAGGTGTCATATAGTATAGGATCATGTGCATGAGGTTTTGTAGGCTTTCATATCAGGGATTTATAGGACTGTGAGAGGATACTACTGCTAATTCTCAGACCCCATTAGAGATCGAACTGTCTTTCCTATCAAATTTCACCAAGTTTCAAAATCCGAAACGGTGAAGCTTGGCAAAAGAGTTTCCAATTTCAGTCGTAAGCTTGACGGGTTGCAGAATCCGGGATGGTCCCAAGTACTTACATGATAGATAGTGAGGCTTCTCTTGGGAAATGACTGCCATGATTTGGGAAAGCCTCCCCTCTACAAGTACTTGGAAGCCTTTGGGAATTTAGGGGCCTTCATCGTTTTAACAAAGGTTCGTGTCAAAGGCTCTTTCAAGGCTTACCATGCAGGTTTAGTATAATGATAAGGTTCCTTCCAAAGGCTGCTTTAAGGTTTGTAACAGTTTATCTAAGGGTTTAGTATAATGCCGGCCTTGTAGTGTATGTCAGCTTTGAAAAGTCCCAGGATCTTCGCTGCAGGGATGCGGGGTCTGGGGTTAGGGCTCTACCCAGAGGCTTGATAGTAGTTCCTTTTTGGAGTCCATATTTCGACTCCTATAAGATAATCCCAAAAAGGAACTATAATTGGGGCCTATGGGTAGCCGACTTTGACCTGCCCAAACCTACCATTTTCGAGGGGGGGGGGGGAGGGTGCCGAAGTCTCTTCAGTAGGGTTGATAACATGAAAGTACAAAAGTGGGTTCGGGTAGTTTATTAAGGTGCTGCTATGGGTTTCAAGTCTAGGTCTTTTGCCTTCACAGTTTGGGCTGCAGGTTAAGAGTTCAAGGAGCTTCGGTTTGTGGCTAAGTTCGGTTTTGAAGACTTAAATGAGGGTGGTGTCCCTTCGATAATGAAAAGACTCCTAGCGGCTCCAGTCATTGTTATCCCCCCTGCTCCCCCCTCACACCAACGAAAAACAGTAAGAACAAATCCTGAGCCAAAAACTTTTGTCAAAGCAACATGATTTGGCAGTTTCCAAAACATGACGGACCCTGACAGAGGCTCACGTGTGAAAATCCTTAGACCGTAGACCTATCACCGGCTAGACCTAATTTTTTATAACACGAAGACTCTAGACCCTTACCCTGAACCCTTATAAACCCTACACCCAGAAGCCTAAACTTGAAATCCTGAATCTAGGGAATCCCCGCACTAATCATTCTAAATCCACGTGCCAACTTTCTGGGGTTCACAGTAGACCCCAAACCCCACCAGAGGGCCAGGCTCGTCGACAGCTCCCGCAGTGTTCTCTGCGCCCTTCTGGCTTTAGTGTCTTCTGAAGGGGACTACGGGTTTGGGGGGGTTAGGTTTTACAGGTTCAGCGGTTTGGGGTTTAGGGGTTTAGGGTTCAGGGGTTTAGGGTTTTAGGGTTCAGAGGTTTAGGGGTTCGGGGGTTTAGGGTTTTAGGGGTTTAGCATTTAGGCTTTAGCGTCTTCTGGTGGGGATGGTGACCATGGGTTTAGGAATTCCATCAGAGCTGCAGAAGGTTTCGGGGGGGGGTTTTGCAAAGGTTCAGGGAGAGGTTTAGGGATTGGGGCCTCAGGGCTTTGGGGTTTAGGGTTTAGGGTTTAGGGTTTAGGGTTTAGGGTTTAGGGTTTAGGGTTAGGGTTTAGGGTTTAGGGTTGGCGGTCATCCAGCGTCTAGAGAGGCTTCTCTCTAGAGTTTTATCAAGGGTTCAAGACTCGGGATTGAGCACTTCCGTCTTTATGATGCGGGCTCCAAGCCTTGTAGGTTTTTGAGCTTCTACAGGGAACTCCAGAAAGTTGGAATATGGTTTCAGGGTAGGATACCCTATAATTTACCATAAAGGGTTTAGGATAATCATATTCCAACTTTCTGGCTTTTACTATAAGGACACAAGACCCCGGTTTCCAGTGTTCATGATGCAGCACAGGTCTTCTGTCTAGGGTCAAGTCTTTAGCGAAAGGTTAAAGCTCCCTGTGAGAAGAGCATGCTGTATCCGACCAAGTGAAACTGGTGGTTGTTGATATTAGGGTCCCTTTCGGGTCCTTATTTTTATACGGCACCTAACATTTAAGGTACACAAAAAGGGACCATAATTTTGACAACCACACAAGTGTAGGTCGGATCGTTGAACAAATGTAAACGAAGCAAGGCTACGATCCTTTCACCCGGCAGCCGCAATGCTTACGTTCTACAAGCACGCACCTCGAATCCCCGTGAAATCTTTCAACCAAAACGTCATACAGCACAATCGTCCAAACATCAAGGGCAAAGTCCCTGATAGTCCCCAAACCCTGAACCCTCAACCCTAAAACCTAAACCCTATCTAAACCCTGTGGCACACCTGGCGCATAAAGCCGCGGAACTCAGGGGAAAGGTGGTAGTCAAGCTGCTCCTCAGGGGGTACATGGAGGTCCATGGGTAATTATAAGCAGGGTTCTGAGTCGGGCAACTATACTTATAACCCATACTAATGGACTTATAACCGCACTTACAACTACCCTTGAACCTCGAAGTAAGAAGACTCAGAGGTCAGGGTTTTGAGTTCGCCAACACCAAGGCCATCTTCCCAGTCACTGGTTAGAGCGTAAGCACCCATTATTAAGGACATAAGGCCTCTATTACGGGGTACTTGAGGGGTGCTGTGAAGCTGAAAATCTGCAAACAGGGAGCTTATTGCGCTCAAGCTTATGGGCCTGGTAAGGGTGTGGGGATAACCTTTACTGAACCCTATAGGCATCCGTGAACCCAAACGGCATACACTTCTGTTCCAAAAGCACATATACGGGCACGACTTTAAGACCAAAGTACATACTATTAGCGTACATGGACCCTTATACCCTTAACCCTAACAGAACCCTTAAAGGAGCCCTTGAAGGAATCCTTAACACGAACCCTTAAGGCAAAGAGGGGAGAAGACCTGCGGAGCTACCTGCTTGATGTTTTGACTTTTCCATGGTTACAGTGTGGGTAGTTCTCTTTATGAGGGTCTTTCGAATAAGGGTGCCGTACTAGGGTAGGGTCTAGGGTTGGATCTTGAAGGGGACCCTTATTTAGAGAACTACCCATGTGACAAACCCCTGGAAAGTATGTAGGATGCCGAGTTGCCGCTAAACCTGGCCCCCAAACTGGTAAGTGCCCCCCCACATACCGCGCTGAGTCTAAACTGCTCATCGTAACCCTATAAACCCTAACTCTGTAAACCTAAACCCTAGACCCTGAGCCCTAAACCCTGCACCCTACAACCTAAACCCACCCCTAAGCTAAGTGCCAATAAAGCCACCAATCCACAGGCCTTCTGATCCGGCGGGAGCGAGAAGAACTCGCGAGCACTTTGGAGCAAGTCCTGGCATCTTCTCATCAGGGTCCATGTCCCAGACCCCCGGGAGGATCTAGAAAGTAGATCCCCTAGTTTGGGGCCCTATACTACTAAGGGTACTTTATAGGAACCCCCATTACCGGATCTACTTTTTGGATCCTCCCGGGGTCTGGGGTATGCAAATGGGGCTACTTTAAGAGTTCCTTTGAAGGTTCCTTTAAGGGGTACCATAAGGGTTCTGTAAGGTATGGGGGGTTCAAGGATCCATGTATACATATAGTAGATGCTTTGTCCCCAAAGTTCCTTTAAAGGGGCTACTTTAAGGCCGAAGTCTATACTATTTGCCTTAACCCCCAACATGAACCTGAAAACGACCTCTATACATTTTATATCAGGAAATCAACAATACGCAACGCTGAAACCCTGGGGATCCGAAAAGCCCAAAGAAGGTCCTATTCATAGACTTTAGAGCCCAAAGTAGGTACTATTTGTATACTTGGAGCCCTAGGGAAAAGGTAGGGCTTCTCTAGGGCCCAGGTAGGGATCTGAAAGAGTTGAGGATCAACTTGTTCAGGGTTCAGGGGTTCCGGTCGAGGGAATCGGGTAAGAGAGCGCAGGGCTTACCTAGATAGGGTTCCTCGCTATAGGTTCTGGGCCTATGGCTTGGCGAAACTATGGGGGAAAGCTATGTAGACTGGCAGCGAATGACGGATGCCAGATGCCGACCGTGGTTGAAATTCATCTCCTGAGCGTAGAAGTACTCAGGCCCACAGGGAAAAATGCCCTCAACAAACCTCTATCCTAAACCCTAAACTAAACCCTACACCCCTAAACCCCAAACTGGGCAAAAAGGTTCTCATAAGACCCTAACCCACGCGGTGCAACACACAGCAGCGCTGAAAGCCTCGTGGAGGGACTCGAGGCGTTTTGGAAGCCGAGAGACCAAGAAGCAGCCGGTGCCTCTGAAAGGTATATGGGAGCTTTCGAAAGTTAGGGTGCCTTATTTTGGGGTCCCAGGGTTCCTTTAAGGGTTCCTTTTAAGGGTTTAAGGGGATCTGAAAGGGCCTAGGGTTTAGGGGTACCTAATTTGGGGTCCCTTATACTCAGGATCCTACTATTTAGGGTACTCTATTATGTCCCCCATTTTCGGAAACTCCCTCGTGGAGTGTCGGGTTTGAAGGGCTTTGTACTAGGAGCCTCCTTGGACCCTCACATAGGGCCACGTGACCTCTGACAGTACGTATTTCGAGTCTAGCTAGAGGATATAAGGAGGGTCTAGGTCTAGGTGTACTGCACATATAGCGGCAGAATTGTTCGAAAACGTTTTCGAAGCATCTGTTATCTTCGAACTTTATACGTGCTGTAAGGGAAAATATTTGATATTTCATTATTCAGACCCCCACCTTACAGTAGGTTTTATGGCGAGCATCCTCCAAACGGATACCTGAAATATACCTTTGACGATATGCATAGTTAAGGATACTACACCCACTCATGCCACACAAGTTCGTATGATGGTGATGGGGTCCGAGTGGTCTTAAGGGATCGGGTTGAGGGTTTTCGTGTTAGGTCTTCAAACCCTAAGCCCTAAGGGTCCAAGTAGTTCCCATTTATGGTTTTTGGTACCCAAAATGGCCCTAAAGTCCTATAATAGGGGGTACTTGGACCCTCTGGGAAAGAAATAGCTCTTAATTATCAGGTGCTTGATTTGAGTATTGGATTCTCCGACAGGACAAGATTTGATTGGACTTGTTGCACCTGGGAGCTGCTTGCCCTTCCTTCGAACAACCCAGAGAACCCAACACCCCTTAATTAAGGAATATACCTTAAATCAGTATAGGGGCTTCATATTATGATTCAAGCTATATTCCGTAATCAAGGGTATCTTTCTGGGGTTCTCCGGAAGTAAGTCTTCAGGGCGCACGAGATACGGCGAACCTCAACCAAGAAGCCTCAAGTCGGCTCTCTTTCCCTAAGGGTCCATGTGCCCAAATAGTATATACTTTGGTCCCAATGTACCAACATAGGGAGTACTTTAAGGCCAATGTATATACTATTTAGGTACATGGACCCTTAGGGTTTCTCTTTCTGGAGAGGCTCAGGACTTACGCGCTGATGCAGGTGTTGCTGCCGCCGCAGGATGAGAGTCTGTCGAAGGTGTAGGCGTCGGAGGTTCAGGAGATGGGACAAAAACGTCGATGATGTAATTGTGGATAGGTGGGTATGAGATATCAAGGAGTTTCGATCCACGACTACGACACTCAATGAATCGAGCGCCCCAAACCCGTCAGTCCTACACTGCACACCCCAAACCCTCCAAGATAAGGGCTCGAGAAGGTATTGCTCAAAGAGTGCGTGTAACCAATCAGGAAAACATTTATGCCGTGAAATCACTACACTACATGCGCAGGTGATCTGGGAATTATATACAAGCTGAAACCCTCTCAAACCACTCCAAGGCGGCTGTGGGGAGCAGAAAGCCCAAACCCTTGACAATGAGTCCCAGACCGTATACACCCAAAGTGCTAATTTTACACCCTACTTGGAGGTTCATAGGTAATCATTTAATTGGGGTTACAACGCCCCAATATAGGTTATAAGCTAAACGTAAAGTTCCCTACTTCGCAACCCCACTTAAATAGACTTAATTACCCTAAGGCTCCATAGTAGTTCCTTTTGGGGGTTCATATTTAGAATCCTGTAAGGGAATCCCGAAAAGGAACTACTATGGAGCCTCTGGGTATTAACTACTCATGACTCTCCAAGTACACACCTGACAAAAGACCCGGCCTCCTTCACCGACGCGGCAGGCGGCACCTTGGGTTTTGCTTCTCTTACCTTGGTTAGTAGGGAATGGAACCTTTCCCGTCCCACCTGCGCAGTAAGAAAAGAACTACATGAACACACAACCCTAGACCAGAATTAAACCCTAAACCTGAAAACCCAAAAGAACACATGAACACAGAACCCTAAACCAGAATTAAACCCTAAACTTGAAACCCCAAATGGCCCCAAGCCCTGCTACTCGGATAAACTAAAGTCATACCTGGACCCCCAAAAGTATGTAGAATAAGAGCCTTTTATAGGTTTTGGGCCATTATTTTGCTTACGTTGGGGGGTCTAGGTATTATTTAGAGGGTCGGCGCCGTGACCGCGTAAAGATTCCCGAAGAATTTCGGGTTGCGAAGCCCGAGAGGTTTCCAGCTCATCGTGTCATACCCAACAGAAGGGCAGCTATGTGTTTCCTGGGTGGGATCTTTATGTTTGTGCCGTATCGAGGCCTGAGTGATTGAAGAGGTTGTCGGCAGAAGGGTCTGCTGACAGCAAGCTTTCAGCAACCCTTATTGGCGCATGCCCTCGCCACTGAGTATTATATTAGGGGTTCAAGCACGCGTGCTCTCTTCTTGTAGGATGCACTGAAGCCCACATGTCCTGAAGACACAGTATTGTTATGTTGCTTTCGCCGTTCATCGTCATCCAGGACCATGACCATTAAACGAATCAGCCTAATCGATGTCAAGACCACACTGGCCATCGTCATTGTCATCAGGGTCCCTAACGGCATGACTGTCATCTTACTACACCAATAAGCCACAGAAATAAAAGGTTAAACCTTTCCGATTCCTACGAAAACCATAAGAACCCAAACAATTTAACAGGTTAGGTATTGGGGGGTCTAAGTCATTTTCATCGACAGTATCAGCAGCATCAACACCATCATCATCATCATCATCGTCAATGTCACCATCAATGACCTCATCTGCATTACAAGCATCAGCGTCAAGGCCGCCATAGTAATCAACATCACTTCTTCAACGTGACCATCATGTTCAATCTCATCTTTACCGCTATCCGTTATCATCATCACCATCGTCATCGTCATCATCAACATTTTTATCGTCGACGTCGTCATCATCACAGTCATCACCGTCATCATCACCAACAACATCTTCAACATCATCATCGTCATCATCGGCATCCTGAGCTTCATCTTCATCACGAGGTGGGTTCCAGGGGGTTAAGGTACGGGGATTTGGGAGTTTTCATGGCTGCGCGCTGGGGATTAGGGAGATAGGGTATAAAGTCTCCACGACCACAGAAGCATCCTCTAAACCGATCGCATATTCCTTTCTAGCACAAGGCAGTTCGTGCGACGATAAAGGCCTGTAGCCCTATTCCTAAACCCTACATCCCTAAGGAGACACAAAAAACAACGCTGCTTTATTTTTCCAAGAAGCTCAGCTGACATGCGAAGTCGCCCACGTCGGAGTAGAGATGATCATACTCCAACTCTGGCCTTAGACGCGTTAAGCGTTTAGGGTCCACGGCGAGCTGCATGTCAGGATTTCGATAGAATTACCGGAGTCTCTAGCCGGAAGACAACGAATCGCTCTTCGGCCCCTGTCGCGGCCCACGTTTCTTCCAGTTGGTCGAACTGTCAATGCAGTATCACTCGGGGGTAGAACGGTTGATGATATAAACCCTGCATTACCCATAATAGGGAATATATGGGAATGATGGTATATTCCTTATTATGGGTCATGCAGGATTTATATCATCCACCGAAGCACTTTGCAACCGGCAACTCTCGCGCCAGAGAAGGAGATACTACAGGGAACCTGGACGCTTTACGGTTAACAGCTCGCCCCAATAACAGGCTCCTCTAAACGATTTATCCAAAACCCGTCAAGACCATGAAGGACAGTCTTATAAGCACTATAACCAATCCGAAGCCCTTACACCAACCCTCTAGGAACCATTATGGAACTGCGTGTGCGAAGTTTTGAAACTCTAAGCCCCGTAAACCCATTACAAAATCCTCGTCTTTCGCAAGGCGTCGGGGTTTAGGGTTTACCCAAAGGCCCCAAACTAGTTCCTTTTTGGGGTTCATATTTAGAATCCTATAGGGTGCTCCCAAAAAGGAACTACTTTGGAGCCTCTGGGTTTAGGGTTCCGATCATGGTAAGAGTTCAAAACGGGAGTTTCCGAAACTTAGGGGTTCCGTATTCTGGGGTCCTTATAATATGAGGATCCTACTGTTTAGGGTACTTGTTGGGGGTCCCCTCTATTTTCGAATCAAATGATTCCTGAAAGCACCCAGATAACCCCCGTGGGCTTCAAACCCCGAAATTCCGAGTTGAAGACAACTTGGTGAGGGTCGAATGGCACCTGACAGTGTCAATATTTCAACCTCAGGGTTTGCGTCTAGGGCTTAGGAGTTTAGGGTTTAGGGGTTGAGGGGTTTAGGGTTTGAAAGCGGGTTCTGACACATGAGAGTTTGGGGGATCGAACTCTCTTCTTCAACAACCGGGCCACAAAAAGTTCCAACTTTCTAAGATAGAGCTAGTATATACGGCCAAAAGGTTTAACGTTCCCCCGTTCACTGTCTAAGCGAAGGCCTTGGAGGTCGGGACTAAGGCTGCAGAAATCAGTCTGGGGGCTTCAGGGGAGAGACCAGGATCTCTCCTAATCTAGGATGCCCAGTAACCTACGAGTAAAACAGGGCTCCCTTCTTGGTATTGGGTAACTTTATAAGGAACCTAGGGCTACAAAAGGGGAATAAGGGTACTACTGGGCATCCTGGTTAATAGTAAGCAAGATTTACATTCAAAATTGTGGTCTCTTAATGAGGTTCCTACATTGACCCCACCGTCTAACCTACCCGCCTCAACACCGAACTATACGCACGGGTGGTTTGGTGTTTAGGGTTTGGGGGCTGTGCCAGGCTGTTAAACGGCATGGTGCGCAGCCGCTGGGTCGCTATGCGAATCGGGCTAAACCCGTGAGCTAAAGACCCTGATCCTCCCTAAGGCTCCATGTACCCTTATAGTAGATACTTAGGCCTTAAAGTGCCTATATAGGGACTACTTTGGGGCTTAAGTATCTACTATAAGGGTACATGGAGCCTTTGGGCCTTATAGGCTTTATAGAGTAATGAATCAACAGCCCTAAACGTCAATACGACCGAAACCCTGAACTCAGTTCAGAACTACGGGTTCTTCCAGCCGCCAAGGTTGCACTCCCTGTACCCGACAATCGGCGACCAAAACCAATCAGGGTTTAGGGATTACTTGGAGGATCATGAGACTTAGTAAGTAGGTTATAATTGGGGTTATAAGTCCCCTAAGTGGGGTTATCCTAATTATAACCTACTCATGAGCCTTCAAGTAGGCCTTGCCGGGTTTAGGGTCTAGAGGTCAAGGGTTTAGGATTCTCCATCTACCCGGGTCAACTTAATACACCACAGGCCCCAAAAGGAAACAACGTGTGTTACTCCGAATCGGTGAAGGCCTGCGCTTCCGAAGGCAACTTTCGACTCGCAGGCCTGCGTTGGTAGAACTGCCTCTGTTTCACTCATTCACTCGCTCAATCCATCACTCAATCAACCTCCCTCTCCCTCTCTCTCTTTCTCTCTCTCTGCCTCGCCCTCGCCCTCGCCCTCGCCCTCTCCCTCTCCCTCTCCCCCTCTCTCTCTCCCTCTCGCTCTCTCTCTCTCTCTCTCTCTCTCTCTCTCTCTCTCTCTCTCTCTCTCTCTCTCTCTTTCTGTCACTCTTCGCGATGTAAAACACAGCATGCACATATCGCAACAGAATCAAACTGTAAGTGCTTCGAAATAAGAGCACAGTCGATCGTGTCTACATCATGTATTTACAAAGCATACAATGGATTCATGAAGGTTTCTTACACTGAGCTGCGCACACACACACAGACAATGCCAACCTTGACGAACAGGGGACCAGCAACGTTTGCACAAGGCCAAGGCCATGGCAATTGCGCTGATAAGCTTGGCTTGAGTTTCAGACTTTGGTTTCGTGCATAAGGATGGGCTGTTAGGTCTTTCGCGGTGGGATTATGGGGTCTAGGGTTTAGGGCGTTAGCACCTCTTAACATGCTACTAACGGTGATCCCGCGCCAAACTGCTACATGACGAACTGCGTGGCCTGTCTGCTAGGGTTCGTGGCTGCAGAATGGGATGCCTTCTCGACCATTTCATGTGGGCTCAATGTTGAACTGCTGGGTGTGATGGGCTTTCTGGTGGTTGGGGCGACCCCTGAAGACCCGCACGATGCGGTGCCTAAAGACAGTCTTCCATGATCCTGACTTCCTTTCCCATCTAGCTCAGAAATCGAAACTGAAGGGCTGAGTACCCCAGCCCAAAAGCTAAAGAGGGTTAAGCTTTGCAGTTAGGGTAGGATTCTATGAACTCTTAAAGGCAAAAGGTTGCTACTTAGAGAAAGGCTTCGGAGCCCGAGATCGAGTCCGATCGGACCGGTTTTCATTCACAAGCGACGAAGGAAACCCTGTAGACCCGAATATAGGGGCCTTAATAGTTAGAACAGGTTTTGGGGGCCCATTCTGCTATAAGTGTAGTCAGGAAACCCTTGACCCTTGACCCTACTTGGAGGTTCATGGGTCGTTTTAAATGGGGTTACAAGTAGGGTAGCTATCACCCATATTGGGGACCTATAACCCCACTTGTAACTATATATCCATGAACCTCCAAGTAAACCCTAACTAAACCCCCCACAGCTTATAAGTGCTAAACACGACAACAAGAGACCAGGTTCTTGAGAGGTGGATCTGGCGCAGGTCACGTAACTCGGCAAGCGCGCAATCTAAGTTCACAGCAACATGTTGCTTGCCAGGAAAGCGAGAGAAGAAGAATACACATTATATCAAGCCCTGGACACCAGACATCACTAAACCCCGCACTTTGCAACAAGGTCTTCTATGAAGGCCCTTCTGCTAGCAGGCAAAGGCTTGAGGGAGACATGGTGCTGGATGCATCGGAACATCAACGCAGAACAGCCAGGGAATTTCCTCAATAGCCAGGCCCAGCCAAGATCAAACTCTTCCATCGAGATAAAGACATGCGACCAACGACAACAACAAATTCTTCCAGTGATGAAGCAAGGAAACCTGGCGAGACACCTCGTTCCTCCACCTGTCTTGAGAGCTCGAACAGAGATACGAATTTCAAACCCTTGCCGTGAGGCATCGAAGGTGTTTGCGAGTTGCAAACAGAAACCCCTAAGGTATGATCTCGACTCCGCTTTCGAAGGGTTTCTTTCGCATGCCATCAACAGGTCTGCCAGCAAAACAAAAGCAGCTCTGTACAAGCAGCCAGTTGAAGCAGGTCAGGCATGATTGCGCGACGGTGCGTCAGCAATCCAAAAGAAGTTCTGTCCTTCAAGGCTTGAAGGTGTGCATCAGCACCTGACGACCCTGAAGGGCTTAGACGTAGGGTCCAGCAAAACCGAAAATGCGCGCTGATTGGGGCAACCACACCCAGACTGTACATCCGAAGGCATCCATGCGCGGTCGGCTGAAACTAGCAGACCTAGGCTGCTCAGTAACCGACTGGGAAAAAGTAATTGCGCATATAGTTTTTTAGGCTTCTTCTTATACAATAGGTACCCAGAATCCTGAAAGTAAAAAAGTGTACCACTGAACAGCCTGGAGACCCAGTTCACCATTTTCCCTCCCAACGTCTCGGGATCTTTTCCCTCAGCACACTGCAGAATGCTTCCTGGCCCAAGATGTCCCAGGCTGGCTGCATGGCAGGGTAAGCCTGGGTTCTTGCTTCGGAACTTAACTTAAGTTACCATAAAAAGGGATCTATACTAAATAATGTGGCTTCTTGATTATGGTAACTTAACAAGTTAAATTAAAATCCTTAACAAGAACCAAGAAGCTCAAGCTGCTCCAGTACGCACAGCTCCAAACGCAAGTTTTTTGGACAGTGCAGTTGCATCCGACGAGGGTTGGCTTCACCTCAGTTGCCACTTTTTTCTACACATGACTGGGAAAGGATAGTCTCCTCTACTAATGTAGGAACCTGATTAAGAACCCCCGGGCCTATAACCCCAAAACACGAGAATTCAGATAAGGAGCCCTAATAAAGGCCCAAGGTTTCATAATCAGGTTCCTACATTAGACAGTGAGGACTCAGACCCAGCATGGTACCACCAAGTTGCTGGACACGAGATGAGGTCTTGGCACGCCCAGCTGATGCCGCTGGCACTGATACCCACCATGTGAAGAGTCTCTTGCTCCTTGCAAACTAGCTCTGTGTTGTTGGAGTTGGGGTGGACGCACCTGTAGTGGCACCTCAAGTCTTGATAAGCAATCGCAATAGATAAGCAATCGCAATAAAGTAGAATCTAGAAGACTAAGACAAGTCTTGCGTAGGATTTACTTCTGAGCCTAACATGAAACACGGTAAGTTAAAATGGGTTCGTTCACAAAAGCCGAGACACTTGCCGTCCTGACACCGGGTTGAGTTGGGCGGCTGTGAGGTGCCGGAGCATCCTAATACCTGCACCTGTTCGGTTTTTGCCGGCGGCTGGACCAGAGCCTGCACTGCAACCAGCAAAGCAAGGCCACTGCTGATTCTGACCGCCATCGTCACGAAACACTCAGGTATGTGAACTTCAACCACGCTTGGACTACCCCCGGTGCCGGATGCCTGCTGTCGCAGTTGAGCCATCAGAAAAGCATCAGTTTGCCCGCGATGCCTCTGAATCCCCTGAGCAATCAAAGCGAAACCGAGACCGAAACTCTGAAATCTAAACTCCAAGCCTTGTTGCAAAGCTGCAGATGAGAGGCTGCAAGCGCGAGCTTAGGACTTACAACAGCGAGGTTCGAAGGTTAAGGTGCCCGGCCATCCACATCTAGCCACATGCTTGAGTAAAGAGACCCTTGTTAGCAGCTGGTGAGGGTTTTAGAGTTCAGAGTTCCAGGACTTGCAGCTGGCCCTAGTGCGTGATTGATGGTAAGACGCACTTCATGAAAATCATAAAGCAGTGCTCGGGAAAGCCAATCCAAGGCACCTAAACCCTAAACCCTAACCGATTGCACGTCTCGACAAGCAAATCCCGCTGTTGGGGTAAGAACGACGGGACCTTTACCAGGTCGCTGGTCTCTTGCTGGGTTCTTCCTATAGTCTCCATTGTAGTTCCTGTTTTTGTTTTAACCAATTATATATTAAGGATCTGTAAGGTAACCCCAAAAAGGAACTACAATGGAGACTATAGGGTGTTAAGGAACTTTGGCTCAGCTACGATAATAAAGAAGCCATATTCGTTTTTTATTATAGAGCCCTGTTATGGTAGCTTGACTTCCTTAACACGAACCCAGACTAGGGTTTTCGGGGATCACATCTTGGAGGTGCCAGCGGCTCACGGCACGTAACTCTCTCACAATGTTACCTCGGCACCAGTGAATGTTCGCAAAATGTAATGCCCGACGGGCCCTTGTGACGATCCTCACTTCCGTTCCGCTTCAGACTTTTCTTTCGCATGCCATCAACAGGTCTGCCAGCAAAACAAAAGAAGCTCTGTACAAGCAGCCGGTTGAAGCAGGTCAGGCATGATTGCGCGACGGTGCGTCAGCAATCCAAAAGAAGTTCTGTCCTTCAAGGTGTGCATCAGCACCTCATGATCCAGCTGGTTTCGAGTCTAAGGTTTAGGTTTTCTAGCTTCAGATCCTGCAAAACTGAAATACGCACTGATTGGCGCAAACACGCACAGACAGACTGTACATCTGAAGGCATCCATGCGTGGTCGGCTGAAACTAACAGACCCAGTTCGCCATTTTCCCTCCCAACGTCTCGGGATCTTTTCCTTCAGCACATTGCAGAATACGTCCAGGCCTAAGGTATTCGAGGCTGCTTGCATCGCAGTGTAAAATCGAGCCTCCCCAGTAGTCACAACTCCAAGTGCAAGTCTTTTGAACGGTGCAGTTGCATCCGACAAGGGTTGGCTTCGCCTTAGTTGACGATTTTCCTACTTAGAACCAAGCAATCAACTGAAGCAAGGCTACTCTCCTAGGTTGGAGTGATGGGATTGAAACCCAAACCCATCAACAAGGCAAACTCAACTGCCAATTTACTCAACACGAAACAAGAACCAAGCAACCCTGCTCTCCCAAATTGGAATGCCAAGGCAAAGAACGACCAAAAATGCGAATTGGACTAGAGTAACCCCCTTTAAACTTGGTAGCCGGATTAAGGCCAAAAAGAGCTGGGATTCCCTATACATTACTCTTAAGGATGGAGGCTATTGGGTTTCTAACTTTTGGGCTTCTACTACAATTACCAAGTTGCTGGACACCGAATGAGGTCTTGGCACGCCCAGCTTATGCCGCCGGCACTGACACCCACCATGTGCAGAGTCTCTTGCTCCTTGCAAGCCAGCTCTGTGCTGTTGGAGTTGGGGTGGACGCATCTGTAGAAGCACCTCAGTGCTTAGTACAGCTACCCAACAAAATTCAAGACTAAGTTTGACAGGTATGTTTTGGCTACTACAAACCCAGCTACAGACCCGCAGAAGCGTAACCGATGGTATGGCTTCTCAACAAGAACCGAGAAGCTTGCCGTCTTGGCACCGCGTCGAGTTGGGCTTTGAGCCACCGAAGCATCCCAATACCTGCACCTGTTCGGATTTTGCCGGTGGCTGGACTAGAGCCTTCACCGCAAACAACAAAACTAGGCCGCAGCTGATCCTGACCGCCATCGTCACGAAGCACTCTGAAGTGCGTGATCTTCACACTGTCTTGGACTACAACGGGTTCGGGATGCCAGCTGTCGCACTTGAGCCATCAAACAAACATCAGATTGCTCGCGATGCCTCTAGACCCGCTACACCTGCAAGCCGAATATAAGCCGAAAACCTTCATGCGAAGCTACAGTTAAGGCCCAACTCTAGTGAAACAAACATCCTGTGTGGCAGCTTGGGCCCTAAGCTTGGGCTTGGGTGGGTTAAGGATTCAGAGCTTACGGACTTGGGAGTTTCCGAAAATTAGGGAGACCTTACTTTTGGGGCCCTTTGATATTTAAGGATCTTATTTTATTAGGGTCCTATATCTAGGGTCCTCATTTTCAGAAACTCCCACTTGCAGCTCAGGTGCTTGGACCTATTAGGTACTACTTGGCGCAACTGCGTAATCGATCGTAACACGACTTCATGATAACCTGAAACCAATGGTCGGGAAAGGCAATCCAGTAAGCGGATTGCACATATCTCGGCAACCAAATCCCGGTGTCAGCGATCAGCCTTCGCAAAAATTCTCGCAAGGGCGTGTGCCGAGTCACGGTCCTATTCGACCCTAAACCCTAAACCCCAAATCCTATTCGACCCTAAACCCTCAACCCTGAGAGTTGGGACATCAAATGTTGGAGGTGTTAGGGGCTCAAGGAGTGCACCTTCCTAATGTGAGCAGAAGATCCCCGCAAGATGTAGCGTCATTTGACGATGCTTCCTGCCGTGAGGTTTACTTGGGGGGCCCTTGGGGATGTAGACCCTCTAAATAATAAAAATAATTAATCATCATCATAATCATAATGTCCCTTTCAACAGAGCCAGAAGGTAAGAAGGATCCTCTGAAAGGGGTCTCCCTGATACTGCCGAAGATTACATTCCATGCTTTCTTAGGAAGGCTGCCGAACCAAAATCCACTTCAAACGGTTCCGACAGGACCCGTCTTCATCCACAAGCAACAGCGACGGCATCTGGGTCTACATGCTGAAAGAAGCCCTTAAGCCTTACTGCCAAATACTAGCCAACTAAACCTTGCACCTTCAACCCTGAACCCTTGCACCTTAAACCCTGAAACTCCAAAAGAGACCCGGACCCAGGTTTGGGGAGCCGCTTCTGGCACGAGCAATACAGCCAGGCAAATGCACAGGATCCAACAATTCAGCTATATGGTTTGGGGTTTCCAGGGTTTTGGGTTTAGGGGTTATGGGGTTTAGGGTTTATGGCTGGCTTAGGATCCAACAATTCAGCGCCAAAGTCCACGAATCGAAAGCTTCCACTTTTCCTGTGCATGCCGTCAGCAGGTCTGCCAGCATCACTAAAAAAGCTCTGTCTGTAACTGTACAGGCAGCCAGCTGAAGCAGGTCAGGCATGATTGTGCGACGGTGCGTCAGCACTCCAAAAGAAGTTCTGTCTTTCAAGGTGTGCATCAGCAAGTGATGATCCTGAGGGATTTAGACTTACTTAAGGCCCAGCAAAACTGGGAATGCGCGCTGATTGGCGCAAACACACGCAGACTGTACATCCGAAGGAATCCATGCATGGTCGGCTGAAACTAGCAGACCCAGTTGTGCACCACTTTCCCTCCCATCTTCTCAGGATCTTTTCCCTCAGCACACTGCAGAATTCGTCCCGGCCTAAGGTATTCGAGGCTGCTTGCGTGGCAGTGTAAGTCCGAGCTGCCCCAGTAATCACAGCCCCAAATGCAAGTCTTTTGAACGGTGCAGTGGCATCCGATAAGGATCGGCTTCACCTTAGTTGGCCACTACTGTTCTAAACAGAACCGAGAACCGCCGACCCCAGCATGGACGTGGGAACTAAGACCCCGGAACAATGTGAATAGTCTACCCAAAGACCCCATAGTAGAATCCCAAGAAGGAACTACTGTGAGGCATTTGGGTACCGAGGTGCTGGACACGAAATGAGCTCTTGGCACGCCCAGCTTATGCCGCCGGCACTGACACCCACCATGTGCAGAGTCTCATGCTCCTTGCAAACCAGCTCTGTGCTGTTGGAGTCGGGGTGGACGCATCTGTAGAAGCACCTCAGTTCTTAGTACAGCAACTCAATCAGATGCAAGACCAATTTACTAATGCTTTGCTGACTACATACCCAGCTACAGACCAGCAGAGGGGTAACTGATGTTAAGGGTCCCTGAACAATGAGGGTCGAACAAGTCAACAAGAGCCGAGAAACTTGCCGTCCCGACACCGAGCTGAGTGGGGCTGTGAACCACCGAAGCATCCAAGTACTTGCACCTGTTCAGGCTTTGCCGGCGGCTGGACCAGAGCCTGCACCCCAAACAGCAAAACTAGGCCGCAGCTGATCCTGGCCGCCATCGTCATGAAGCACTCTCAAGTGGGTGATCTTCACGTTGGCTGTCCACCAGTTCGGGATGCCGGCTGTTGCACTTGAGCCATCAGAAATCAAGATCGTGCTTTGCTACTACATGGCTTCAGGCGGGGAAGCTGCACCGGCTGTCGAGCTGTGCGCAGGTTGGGTTAAGGGATTGGGGTTGACGTATGCATACGGACGCGTCAACATTTCGAGTGTTTTGAAGCGTATTGCACAATCAGTAGTTTTGCGGGGGTGGGTTTGCGACTGCCTGCACCTATCTCGGCGCGACATACTAAGAGTCCAAGTATTCATTTGCCAGACTAAGGAGAAGCAGCTTGTGGGCCCCACTTTATCTGGTTTTGGGGGCTTGAAGATTTAGGGCTAGGGTGTATAGGCAAGTAGACACTCCGGGCTGTGTGGTTGCAAGACACCTCCCCGAAACTCCGAACCACTGGGTCAGGAAAGTCAATCCTAGGCCGAATGTCTCGACAAGCGAATGCAGATGTCGGGATTCGAACATGGCTTTGCAGTTTGTCTCATGGGGGCTTGTACGGATTGAAACATGGTCTTCCAGGGGTTACAGTTGTCTTGGCAGGACTTGCGGTCGGCACAAAATTTCTGTGTATGTTATTCAGCTTGCTCTGGGGTCCTTGCATCCCAGTGGGCAGCGTCCCCTTTACCCAATCAACCCTGAACCCCAATTAAACTTAACTCTAAACCCCAAAACCTCTAAACCCTGAGCCCTAAACCCAAACTTCTGTACACTGTAAACCCGGAGCCATATTAAGCCAGAAACCCTGAAACCTACGCCGTTATTTTCTCCGGCGCCGGTCCACGGCCCGCGTCCTTTGGCGGGAGGGCAAAGCGGTGCGTTCACGCCAGGCCTCGGCAGGGGGACTCACTCACCCTAAAGAAAACGGTTTAGGGATCAGGGTTTAGGGCTATTTCAAACCCCAAACCCTAAACCCCTGAACCCTAAACCGTGGACAATAGAGGCAGCTGATACGAGAGCTTTAACTTAGTTAACAGCTGTCGAAATAAGATGTTGTGAAGACTACCGACCTGAATGAAAATGTGCATCTAGGCAAATCTATGTGTATACGTAATGTATACACACACACATGAATACACATGCATATGATGTGCCGTCCTGGACCTCCAGAAAGCATAGAGTCACATGTACTGGGGTTTAGGGTTAAGGCGCAGTTCTCATCTTAGATTCAGATGCTTCTCTGAACTCTGGGACTGGACATCTTCACGATAGCATGCATGTACCGTAGCCCTAAACCTTCAACCTTCCTTAAACCCTCAACCCTAAACCCTTAACCCTAAACCCTCAACTCTAGGCCGCTAGGCCTGGCAAAAGTCTTAAAGGCCTTTCAAAAAAGAGTTCTACAAGGCTTAGGGTTTAAGGATTTGGTTTGGGTTTAGGGTAGCTCTGAGTGGAGTACAAGTAGGGTTCCTTGAAGGCGTTCTATAGGGCTTAGGATTTAAAGATTAGGTCTAGGTTTAGGGTAATTTTAAGTGGGGTTATAAGTAGGGCTCCTTTAAGGGTTGTAAAGGGTTTAGGGAATATAGGGTAGTTATAAGTGAGTTATAGGTAGGACAGCTATACTTATAAGCCATACCCGGGGTCATACCCCCACTTACAGCTACCCAGACAACCTCGACGTGATCGAAATGCCCTGAACCCTAACCCTAAAACCATAAACCCTACCGTGAACCCTGAAACTTACTTACCCCAAAATCTGGGTCGTGGGCAAGATGGGTCCGGCCAGGGGGTCGCAGCCTTGTCGAAGGCAAATGTTCAAAAAGGTCAGGGTTTAGGGTTTAGAGGGGTTAAAGTTTTTGCCCCCTCAGGGCCTACCCGGCCGGCACAATACTCGTTAAAAACGCAAGGTTCTGAAGCAAGAAAAAGTTCCGTATTGTATTCCTGAATCCAAAAAAACCCACCAACCCCTGAATTTTAGCACCCCCAAGCCCCACAATGACAAACAAGCCAAACAAACACTAAAACCCTAGAGCTTAAATGCACACAACAACAAATACATCACCAAAAGATCAAGTACGAAAGTTCTTACGACCACATACATAAAACATAAAGTTGGGCTCTGAGTATGTTCTGGTCGAGCTTTGTAGACTGCCGAGGACAACGAAAGCCAACAGGTCTGGCCGAGGGTTAAGGATGCCAAGGGGTCTATGGCTTATACGGGTTCTGTACGGGTTGCGGTTACGTAGAGGCTCCAGAGTAGTTCCTTTTTGGGGCTCATATGTAGATTCCTATAAGGTAATCCCAAAAAGGAACTACTATGCAGCCTTGGGTACTCTACATTTTACTACTACTGGCTTCCCATTATGATGTACAAGGCTTAGTCGGATAAGTGAGTGACCCTCTAAGGCCGCAGCTTGAACTAGGGTTCCATGTTTCCTAGTCCGGGTGGGCTCATGGGCTTTAGGGATCATAGGCTTCAGGGCTTAGGTTTTGGGGTGTAGGGCTTTCTGGGGATTAGGGGTTATAGGGTTTAGGACTTCATTTGAAGGTCAGGGTTCCATGTCTCCTAGTCCGGGTGGGCTCATGAGCACTCAAGTTGCTTTGCCAGAAGCAGATCCCGAGTCAATTTGAGGAACGGCTTCGCTAGGACATGCAGAATGACCGCAACCCAAAACGCACCTTCTAACTTACTACCCCAAAGGGTCCTAGGTACTGTTATGGGGGATACTTCCCCAAACGATAATAGTAATTTCTAGTATAGAAACCATGCATTCTACCATATAGGTACTTTGGACCTTTTGGGTACTTTCTTGCGACAGTGCGAAGAGCAGGCTATGCAACCTTGATCATCCCGGCAACAAACCCGGTGGAAAGACTTACCTTTGGTTAGTAGTAGGGAATGGAAGAATGGTAGTAATAGTGGTTACAATTGTATCCCATTCCTCCATTCCCTACTAACCAAAGGTGAGAAGAGGGGTTCACTTGCTCAGGCTCTGTTCTAGCCCAACACCGGGCGGCAGAATACACCCCAAGGGTCCCGACATGGCGCACAACGCAGGGCTCAGTCAGGCTGTCGACCCCCAAGGTAGGCACTACTTGCGCGAGCCCTTGACCTAAACCCCAAACCCTTCTGTAGCCCTAAAATCTTATCCCGAAGTCCAAACACCCAGAGCCTGCCCTATATAAACTCTTAATCTTAAATCCTAAGACCCAACCCCTCCGTTCTGCCAGGGTGCCAGGTGCTGGAGGAGCTTCGAACAGCTCTGTCAGACCGGCACCCTCGGCAATCAAAGCATGAGCCTGAGCATGCTCCAGGCGGCCTTAAAACCCGAGCTACACACGCACATAGTATACATATGTATATATATATATATAAACGGGAGACGGAGGGAGAGAGAGAAAGAGAGAGAGAGAGAAACAAAACAAAAACAAGAAAGAGACGGGGTCTCTCTGAAACCCCCTTGTTAAGAAAGGCTGCTGGGGAAGCCCTCTGTAGTCTTAGTAGACTTGCCTTCGAGGCTGAGGCCGTCTGGGGGAGGGAAAACAGTCTCTACAACCCAACAATTCGCCCTGAACCCTGTGCAGTGCCGCGGGTGTGGCTTGACTAGGAAAGCGAACTACTCTCCCGGGTTCGGGTTAAAGGGGTTTCGGGTTTGGGTGTTGACGGTTTAGGGTGTAGGGGGAAGGAATGGTAATTGCAATAGGCAGCTCCACGATTTCGTCCAAAATCCTTCTGCTTGAGACTCTTCTAGGCTTTGGCGCCTGTGTAGCCTGTGGCCGAGTACAAGGGGCCTCTACCGTAATGTGAGGTAAGGGTAACTCACTCTACAAACACAGGATTTCTTTTAAGGATCCACGGATATTGAGGTTTGGACATCGATTCTTTTTTTTGATTTGGGGGGGCATGAAAGTTGAGTTCCGGACTCGATTCTCTAATTGAGCGGTGCCTTGTAATTCACTGCAACCTTACATTAACCTACTTGTCCTAGAATGTGGGGGAATCTATTCACGACCAACCTCTTGGAACTATATACAAGGAAGATAGTACCCCCCACACACACACAAAAAAAAAAGTTACCTACTCAACGACTAAGGTACCAAGGGCTCTGAACGTTTTTGGATCACTTTTGATTTCAAGATCGTCATATCAACGGATTGCCGGATGAGGAACACAGGCCCTGGGATGACGACAGAGCTGATTTGAAGATCAAGGCCCCCTAAACCCTAAACAAGTCGGGTTTAGGGTTCGGGGGCTCGGGTTTTGGGTCTTAGCATTCCTTCAGGGGGGCGCTTTGTCTGTGCAGCACTGTGTGGACAGAGACTTACGGATTAGGGTTTAGGGTTTTTGGGCTTAGGGGTTCGGGTTTAGGGTTCGTTGAGCTTAGGTTTGGGGTTTATGGTTTTCAGGGCTTAGAGCAGTAAGTAATAAGCCACCCACCGCTGCATGCTTGCAAGGCTGGAAGCCCAAGAGGCTTGACCTCCAGGCCCCCTAACGTAAGCCTAAACTTGGGTACTGCCCCTATACTGTAAGAGTCTATTATAGGGCTACTATTACGGTCCTAATACATCTATAACATGAATATTATTCAACTATTTCTGAGTGGGGGCCGTACGCAACCCTAAACCCTGGTAGTGATGGAAACCACATTACCCAAATTCTCCTGGGCCCACCCATAGGCCCCATAGTAGTTCCTTTTTGGGATTACCTTATAGGATTCTAACAGGACCTACTATGGGGCCTATGGGTAGTTATCCAGAGAATAACAGCCCAGATCGAATAGTAGCAATCGATTCAGAAGCAGGCAAAACCCATGCGAAAGTCCAAATCCCTCTACACCGCAAACCCTGCATACACCCAAAGAATCGCTAAACCCGACAACATGCACTATAATAAACACCTTGACATCTAAGCCCAGACCTAAAATCTGAATGCGCGGTCTTACACCCAAGACTCAAAGGCATCAACGTCCCCCAGCCTCCGCCCCATATATTACATACCAAGCCCTAAACCCTAAA